CGTTTAAGACACTTTCTGCTGATTTTGATTGACAGCTGGTCAATCAAAATCAGCATCTGGTCGCAGCTGCTATCAGATGTCTCAGTTCTCTGTTTCGCTTAGAAATCTCATGAACTCCACATGTGATAGCAGCTCTATTTTTCTATATCACAAAAATCTGTTTTGGGTTTACTGGTGTTAATTTTTCATAAATGGCTAAAAGTCAGAAAACAAACTAATGGCTTTGGAGGAAACTGAGGAGCTGCATTTGAGTGTCAGCACTATGTAACTCTGTACTGTAGCTGCTGCTAAATGCTTAACTACTGTTCAACTTTTAGCCAACTGACTCATGTCCATTATAAGGCAATACTTAGCTAAGTTTGATTGACATTATCCACTATAAGCTACTAGTCATACCAGACTAAGTAAGGCAGTAGCTACACCTGTTATACATGGCTTTTCCCTGTTTAATTTGTAAGAGAAATGCTGTTACTTCTTTCAAAACTTACATAGAATGCAAACATAAAAAGAACCCCTCTATTGGCTATGACTACGCCTCACACGTGATCTTTGTGGTTCTGCAAGCAAGAGGCTATTGTGAATTGTGAAGAAAGGGTCTCTTCCTTTAGGTTTGTTTAACCTTGTGTAACCATACTGAGTGCACACAGTGACCTGATTACTCCTGACTCTCATTTAAAAAGTCTCAGACAATTAGATTTTTCCAGGTTCAAAGCTTTGGAAACTATGTCAATACCTGTAAGGAGATGACATATTTACCAAGCAAAGATGCATAACAAGTTCCTTGCAGTCTCTTGCATCACCATGAACTATACTGTCATTTGTACTCATGAGCCTCTGAGTGTTCAGATGCAGCGACAGCAAGAGACAGTAGTTTACATTGTGCAGGTCATGGACACACTTCACAACAGTATTTTAAAAATGACAAAATGCATGAACCAGTGTGATGTTGCTCTGAATTGGGTTCATTTCTAATTTGGATGAACACGCGAGCCCTCACTGTCTTCCCACCACTGAACAATTTTGTTACTTTGTGTGCTCAACCATGGTATAAAATTTTAACCAAACAAATACAACTTACAAATAAACTTCAGTGTGGGATCATTGTTGTATTTGTTGCTATTCACTACAGTTGTCAATGCACTGTGATGATATCGTTTTTTGATATTGTCTTTATTGCCCACCAAAAATGGATCAGACCCTGCCTTTGAGGACTCATCACCCCGCTGCCATATCTGGAATCCACATGTTCACCGTTAGTTTTAAAGGTTGCAATTTGGATTTTTGACTTGTGACATCAGTATTTTAAAAAATCTGGCTATGACCTCGGTTGGTGTAAGATTTAGTAGATGCACCAACACACAATAACTTACAATGATTAAAGAGTCAAACTGTTTTTGAACAGATGTATACAGATGCAAAGCATGGTACGAATTCTGATCGTTTGTTACTCCTGACTCTGATTGGACAATTATAATCCAATCACAGAGCAGAGTCAAACTGTCCAATCAGAGGGCAGCTCAACACTTGAGACTGTCTCCACCTGCAGGTGCCTGCAGGTAGTAGAACACCCTGCGACCCTCATTGGGATAAGTGGTATAGATGGATGGATGTTCCCCCTAACCTGAACCCCACCCTTATCATAACCATGACCACTAAAAACGCATCCTGATGGGGCAGCATATCTCAACACAAGGCTGATGAAAAGCCACTGAGGTCGACACTGAGATGCCCGATAAATAGAGGCTTGTAAACATATTCCTTGCTCCACTTAAGTCTCTGGATGTTGTGGGGCTGTCTTGGTTGACATGCGTCTGCAACGTTGCATGGCGGTTGGGGACAGTGCCTCTGGACTGGCAGACCGGGGAGGTGGTCCCTGTTTTCAAGAAGGGGGACTGGAGGGTGTGTTCCAACTATGGGGGATCACACTCCTCAGCCTCCCCGGGAAAGTCTATGCCAGGGTACTGGAGAGGAGAATTCGACCGATAGTCGAACCTCGGATTCAGGAGGAACAATGCGGTTTTCGTCCTGGCCGTGGAACACTGGACCAGCTCTATACCCTCTTCAGGGTGGCGGAGGGTTCATGGGAGTTTGCCCAACCAGTCCACATGTGCTTCGTGGATCTGGAGAAGGCATTCGACCGTGTCCCTCACAGCGCCCTGTGGGGGGTGCTCCGGGAGTACGGGGTCCGGGGCCCTTTGCTAAGGGC